CAGTAACATACGGATTCACGAGAGATTATAGAAATAACAAATAAACCTTGTTTCACACTTGCAGAGTATAACTTAATACTAATAATATATCTGGAATTAAGTTTTATGTAATATTTTAAATTATATTTGAATTAAATATCAATTTATATAGACATGCATTGTTGAATAAACATGACTATATTACACAATGCTGTTCTATAACGAAAGAGATTGAGGTATGGATTATATTAGAGCAACATATCGGCCACAGTTCCGACAAACTAATACAATTATGTCTAATTGAGGAATTTAAACGTTGTGCAGGTGACGACTTCAAACTTACTTAGATGAAAAGAAAGTTGAAACACTACAGGAAGCAGCCGATCTTTCTGATAACTATACTTTAACACATAAATCTACTTTTCATAAAAAGAAATTCCTACCATCTCAACAAAAACATGTATCTGTTCAATCCACTAAAGTTGAGGATTCTTCTAAAAACTCCAGATCCTCTAGTTCGAAATCTTCACACAGTCGGGCTAAAACTTCATCAAAACCACCAAGGCCTGTCTGCCATTTTTTAAAAAAAACCTGGTCATGTTAAGACCGATTGTTGGTGTTTGAAAAATAAAAAAGAAAAGGTAGCAACACCCAGTGTGTTTGTGTTCACATATGGACGTAGTTTTACCAGATCACCCGATGTTGTTGATATGGCCACTGATATAAAGACTGATGTAATCAGGCAGGAATTTAGACCTTTTGTGTCTATTGGTTCTGTGACAAATGACACTGGCAGTCCCATACCCATACGTATTTTACGTGATATTGGGGCGACTCAATCATTGTTGTTAGAAGGTATATTGGCTTTAGATTCGAGTTCTGCCACTGGTGAGTCTGTTATTGCTCAGGGTATTGAGGGTAGCTTTGTTAATTTTCCTCATCGTAACATTTATTTAGCATCAGGCCAAGTGGGACCAGTTGTGGTTGGAGTAAGACCCGCTCTGCCAATTAAGGGTGTATCATTGTTGTTTGGAAACGATTTGGCTGGGGGAAAGTTGTTACCGAACCTAAAATGGTTAAGTATTTCAACAATACCTTTCTTTCAAAAATAAGCCCCCCAGTGGCACAACGGTATGTCTGCGGACTTACAACGCTAAAATCCGGGTTTCGATACCCGTGGTGGGCAGAGCACAGATAGCCTATTGTGTAGCTTTGTGCTTAGTTCTAAACTAACAACAATATTGGGTTATACTTTTGTTGCTAAGCGACATGACATAAAAACCGTTGTTGAACATATTGTGACCAAAACGCACTGGCTT